TCGGCATTCTTCGTCCTAATAAGTCCAAACGCACAAGAACGTCAGGCCGCAGTCAGTGGAGTACTGTATTTTCCGGACTATAAGTCGCACCTTTTTTCCCATCCTTTGGTTGGGTTTATGACTTATACTCAGGTGCGACTTATATATTAAAATATATCATTTCATATGTTCATTATTTTCACACAGACAGCCTGTAGGGGGCACTCAAGGCTTGCATAACAGTATCTGCAAATCCTGTAAGTGCAACTTATATCTTTTTTTTTTTCTTCTTCATTATGTATTTTTTGGCTGGTGCGACTTATACCCCGTAGAGACTTATAGTCCGAAAAATACGGTATTTGTTTTTTGTATAGGATTAAATCAAATGTTTTAGTAATTTTGGTGTATAAAGGGTTAAAGAGTTCTTGGTGAAGACGGTGGGGGCGAGTCAAAGACTTTCGTTTTTCCTGAACAGCAATAAAGTAAAGTCTGACGGATTGACGGCTCACGGGAAACAGGAAGAAGCGAAGAAGTACATTCTGCAGATATTTGGAGTTCACTGCGAGTGAATCACAACTCCACACAATGTCAGATCACAGGAAAACTCAGAGGGAAAACTACAACGTTTGGCTCTTTTAAAGACACAAGGTGAAGGGTTTGGAAACATTCAAGTTCGTTTGACATGTTGTGCCTGAACAAGTGTGTAACGCGAATACATTTAGGTTGAAAAAAGCCACACTTACGAAAAGAAAAGAATATCAGATATCAAATCAGCTATGGTTAAGGGTCAGAAACTAAAGAGAACAGTTGTTAAAGAGATCAATGTGGAACCAAAACAAACTGGAAGAGGTCAAATATCAAACCAATCAGAGCATCTAGATCAGACATGAGCAAACTACGGTTCACGGGCCAGATATGGTCCATTTGGCTTCATAATTTGGCCCGCCAAACACAGATACAAGGTCAAGTAAAGACAGATGTCCGTTCTTGTGTTTTATGTGTTACGTTGAATCGACTGTAATTTCTGCTGATGCCACTACATGGCAGCAAACACCAGATTATCTTTGAATGTCTCGGTTTATTCTTGCTTGTATTCTTGTTTCATTTGAATAATTTTGTCGTTATTGAAGTATCACAACACCAAGAGACATGAATTAACGCAGACCATAGCATGCTACCATGTTGCCGCTGAATGTAAACGTTGGGAGAGACAAATGACTCAAAGAACACCGTCCTCACTAACACAAGACTGCTTTCACAAAAAAAATCAATCCCTCCAAAAACAAACAAACAAACAAAAAAACAACAACAATTGTTCTTCAGGCCAATATTAATGTTTTAGACCAGAGGTCCTGATCACTTTTCAGGACTCTATACTGAATGTAAACAATACATTCAGTAAAGAGTCCTGAAAAGACATTTAATTTTATAGTAATTCATATTAAACTGGTTCTATTGTCTATTCAAACAACACACACGTCCATATATTTGTAGTTTTTTAAAATGAGCAAAAACATGAAAATTTATTTTATTTTTTAAAACATTTACATCCAGGACGACTCTGCAGTACCTCCACAGACTCCCTAGATGTCGCCAACCGCCGACCTCCAGCTAACACCTCGAGTTCCAGTGTATTTACAGATGCATTTCTAACCAGTTTCCATGTTCATCTTTGAGTTACCGCTACAAAACAAAATGCGCAGACAGTGCCGGGCCGCGTCTGCCAGCAGCCGTTGGCCGAGGCGGAAATCAAGTGGTTGTTGTCGGACACCAACTGCCCAACTCCCTCAAGACTGGTGCTAATACTGGGCCACTGAGCAGGAGAGGTGACTCAACAGCCCAAAGGCTGATGTACAACCAGGTCCAGGAAGTGCTCTCACCCGAGCGGATATCCATTACACTGTCGTGCTCTGGAGTTTTAGTTTTATTTTTAAATATATGAAGCCGTGCTGATGAGTTCTGACACCATTAATAATTAGTGACTGTGAAGAGGAGGACACCGACAGCAGTCATCGTCAGTGACGCAGCCAAGAAAGTGATGACTACACTTCAAGGTTATGTTCAGCGGGGAGAATTATCGGCCTCAAAAAAAAAAAATTCTAATTCACTCCTGGGTCATCTTTGTTTTAATAAATAATTGTGATAGCAGAGAGTGAAGGTCAGCGCGGGAAGACTGGGTAAGAATTTCATTATCATTGGGAAAACTTTAGCACTCGTCATTCTAACCCTGTCATATCAGGCGACGTCAGTTCGGTCGTTTTCAATCAATATAAAGCTGCCAGAGAGGAGAGGGAGGGAAAAGTCGTGACGTGTAGTGCCATCTGGTGGTAGATTGACAGAAATGCAGAAGGAACGCTCCATATTTTAGGCTAACGTTTCAAACTTTACAGCACCGTACATTGTTTTACTAACGGCCGGATTAAAGATATTTTTGGCTAACGTTTAGTCGTGTTTTGCCCGACATGTTTTCGTTTGTCAACTTAGGCAGTTGTTTATATTTGGGACAAGTTTTGTGGCCTAGTATATTTGGTGAACTTTGACAATTTTGTTTCACAGCAGACATTTAAAGCTACTTTATCTCCCATTATTTGTATTTGAGGTAAATGCATAATTATTTTTCCTATTTTTTAACTAGTTTGTGCATTTATCTCTTCTGGTGTGTGTATATATATATATATATACATACACACACATATATATATATACACATATATATACATATATATACACATATACACACATATACACACATATATATACACACACATTACAGTCTATAAATATAGTGATAAATATATCTAACAGCACACTGTACGCATGAACACGAACAGAGAAAATTGGGCGAACATAACTACGTATAAAATGTTTCAAGTTTATTTCAGTTGAGTTATTGCACATATATACACACAGACAATTATTTGGTTGTCATATAAAATTTCACAGGTATTAAAAACAAAGCATTCAGTTCAGAGGATACATCAATATTTACAACAAACTCCTGACCCTTCCAGTGGTTTTCTTATGTAGAGCAGCTGCAGCACACCACTTCATCATACCTCCCACTGTAGCTGCAAAAAAAAAAGTAAAATATTAAACTCATGATATTTTGTATTTTAATGTAGTTTTATTTTGTTTCTAAGCATCTACTTATAAGAAGAAACAAAACCCATTACAATTAGGAAAAGGAATACATTAGTATTAGTTAGTTGTTAGTTAATAGTTTGTAATGAACCAACATTAGTATTGTTATCACAGTGAGTTCATTTAGTTACCCAATACCTCCAACCAGATATTTCTACTGTAATCTGTAGTTAGCTTGTAATGAGTACTGTTTGCTGTAGTTCTGATTTTATCTACCTACAATAATGCAGATGACTGTACAGTGTTACTTACTCTATGATGGTGCAGACAGAGCAACAGTTGTTTGAGCAACGCGAGCATTGACGTGAACAGGAGGAACATGTGGGCCGGTCACACTGGGAGCATGGCGTCCTGCTTCCCGGGCTCTTCTTATAAACACAGCAGCCCACGGGAGCCACTGATGCAACTACACACAGCACACAGGCAACAACAGTAAAAACCTCAGTGGAAACCTCTGTTACGGCAACACTGACATCTGCTGGAGGAAACGTGAACTGCACCAACTATTGACAGCAATGAAAACGCAGCTGATGATAATTATCACTTTACAACTTTAATGTTGTCGGATACACTGCACATTAACCAAAATGATTAGTAGCGAGCAGTACCGAAAATAATTAATCGAATTAATAGTTAGATTATCTGCAAATTGTAGCAGTCGTGGTAGTACAGTAATAACATCAAGATTTTGAAGATGAAAAACGTAACTGTTTTAATGTTTGGCACCGTAATGTCCACCCTAGTTGCACGCTGAGGTTAAATATTAGACCTTGAGGTTACCCACATGGCCAAGTTGTTGAATTCCAACACTACTCATTCGCGATATGTTTATATTTACTCCATCTCGTTAGGTCACACTCACCTTGTGCGGCGCTTGCTCTGGTCAGTCTACCGTCCTGTCCAATCAGCGTCTGTCCTCTCAGCAGGGTTTGGCTATTCACAGGTGTCTCTACGTGTCCGTTTGTCTGCGACTCTTTACACTTCTCCTCCCCAGTCCATATTTTACCCATCACGGCCTTAGCACCATTGAAGAGCAGGTTCGTCGTCTTTTCTGTGACAACATAAACAAGCAGTTTTCAGAGAGTGATGTTACATGATTTGCCCAGGGCTACGCTCCATTACTCCCAGCCAGGCTTCACAAACTACTAGATAATATTTATATACATTTACACACACAGACTACTACAAACAGCTAACTTAAACACTAGTGATTCAGGTTCTTCGTTCAATAATTGGTCAAAAAAATAAATAAAGCCACTGCCGACAAACATAACGACTGATCGACTACTTTATGAACATGGAAAGATACAACTCAAAACACCAGTGGTCCTGAATACAAAGCGCATGCGTGGAGCTGCGCAGCTAACTTATAACTGCTCGTGGGCACTTACCGTAGATTTCCTGTCTGTATTTACTTCCAAACACGCCAAAATTATTCAATTCATGTTGACCGACGTGTATTTTATATTGGGAAGAGAATGTTTCCGGGAAAGGACAGGCTCTTTTTGGCATTTTGGCAGATAAATCTGGGTCCTACGCAGAACAAACCCCTTACAAGTTGCTACGCTTGTTTCTTGCGGAAAAACACAGAGAAGGCGGCTCCGAGCCAATCCGAGGTGCCCTTTATCGTCACATGAAAGCCTAGAACCAATCACGTTATTTGGCGCCGTGTGTGTCGTGGTGCGTTCATGAACTCTGGTTTTTCTTCTTTGCCTGGTTTTAATAAAAAAACATTATCATTTGTTTATTGTTTATAATACGCGTTTCAGTTATATGTGTTTTTCAAATTATACCAGTTTCTACAATTATTTGTTTATTTAAAGAGTAAAATTAATTTGAAACCATAATATTTTGTTATCGCCCTGATAAAACTTTTTCACTGACACGTAATCTCGTACTCTGAAGCCACCATAGTTTTACGGCAACCCACAATGACCAAACTTATAGTAAGATGTTTCGCTGTATCTTAAACCAGAGATGGCGAAGTGTGGGTTTTTGTTTTGTTTCACCACATTTAACTTCCTTTAATGCATAGTACGATAAGTTATGTACCTATAAGGGGTCAATGAATAGGACTGAGCAACATCTAATGGTCAGTGTCAGTATCTCTCATGTCACCACTGCTGTACAACCATAGAGTATGTTATGTTTCTAATCATAAGTAAATCTTTATTAGTAAAATTAAAAAAATAATAATTAAAAATTAATTTTTACATACTTGAGTTTCTGCAGCTTGAAATGACAACTGTCCCATTCTGCACTTAGGAGTAGAATGAAAAATAAAGTTATTTATTCTGCCATGTACCCTCATTTATTAATACTATACAAGAACAACAACACAGGCATAGCAAACACTTTTTAGGGCCCGAGGAGATTTTTTTTTATTAAATAATGAAGAGAAGTTGATGAAAAGATGCCATTGTATGTGTCGTCCATGAAAAGGATTAAGATGGTGATGGTGGTTTTCCTTTAAAACATTTGGATCATGCATTCTCTGGACTTTCCAACTCCAACCCACTTGACTAAGGGGAAATAAAGAGAGTAACAAAGTCAACAGATGCTTTTCCATTTACTAGTATTCAAAGGTTTATGAGGTGTGGAACTCACTGGGAACTCCAATGTGGTTCTCAATGAAGCGGATGTAGTTCTGTGCCTTAGCTGGGAGGTCGTTCCACTTCCTGGCAGCAGATGTGTCTGTCTTCCAGCCTGGTAAGGTCTCATACTCGACCTCCACTTTGTGCAGAACATCCATATTTGCTATAATAGAAAGTTTAAAAAAATCCATAATATTTATAAAGGTTTCTCAAAACCTCTTATTTTTGTTTATATGTTAAATTACCTGGAAAATGGGGAATTCTCTTCCCATTAAGTTTGTAGGCAACGCCAACTTTGATTTCATCCAGCACGTCCAGAATGTCAAGTTTTGTCAAGGCAATGCTGCACAGAAAGCGACACGCTCTTGGTGAGGTGAATTATGGTGATGTTTTTATTTGTCTGATTTTGCTGCCATGTTTTTGCCACTTACGCTGTGAAGCCATTGATCATGTGAGCGTATCGGACGATGACAAGATCCAACCATCCGCAACGTCGCTTCCTGCCCGTGGTTACGCCGACCTCGTGACCTCTTGTCTGCAGCAGCTCTCCTACTGCCTGCAACATACAGGAAAATAATCATTTTTAATTTCTCAACAGTACATTGTTTTACATTGTAAGCGTAAAACAACCCACCACATGGGCTGGCAGATAAAGTTTTAACATCTTGACCTATGTTCGTGACCAGTAACACAATCCAAGCACACACAGTAAATATATCCTGAACTCTGTCTCTGGCCCTAAATTTATCTCTGTGAACATGTGACCAGTGTGTTTGAGCCGGTCTCTCACAAAATTTGACAGCTGCACTTTCTTCTCCTTCACTGCACCACAGCTCAGCTGCTGGTCCAACCGCCCACTGAACCATAAACAATGTGTGCATGCCAAGCTCAGTATCATCAATTACATAACATGTCACATGACTCTCCTCCACAGAATAAAATGCTCAATGAGGCTGACATGAGAAAACAAACGTGTACAGTTTGGATTCATTTGTTTTAAATCGCACGTCTATTGTTTGTATTTCACATCGTTGGGTTAACAATACATGTGTATATTTTAATCACGCTAGTGCAACAAAGATTTCTTATTCGTCCCAGTAAAGGCAATGTGAGCAAGATCCAACCACAATATCCAACTTTACCCCTAGATGTTGCTAAATCCAAGTCCGTGTTGCTTTAAAATCACACACACAAAAAAAACAACATCCAGGGCTTACGTTGAGCTGCTCTGTAGGGAACGCTCCAATTCCCACCCTGGTGGTGTAGGCCTTCGCTACACCAAACACATCACCAATATTCAGCGGTGGGATGCCGAGGCCTGTGCACGCGCCGCCCACGGTGCAGTTTGATGATGTCACAAAAGGATAAGTCCCTAAATCGAAACAAAAAACAAACAAAACATTTTGTCAATAACACAGAGATTCTGTACAGAAGTGAAAATATCACCAAACAATAACCAGCACTAACTCTACCAAAGTCAATGTCCAGCAGAGCAGCGTTGGCCCCTTCAACCAGAATTTTCTTTGGCGGTCCGTGAAGAGCTTCGTTCATGTAATAGACCCCATCTCTGACCATCGGCCGCAATCGCTCAGCATACTCCTGTACAATACAATAAATACACTTTACTTCAACAATTCACCGCGTCATGACAGACGCCTAATGAACGTCTACCTTAAGTTTTTTCAGTTGGTCCTCAATGTCAACTTCCAGAGAAGGATACATGGACTGATAATGGTGGACGAGGTTCTTGAATCTGCAGAAGAAACAAACAAAAAAAAAAAACGGAAATCATTAAGGATGTCCGATATTAATTTAATCACGAATAACTTCAGGTTCTTGAATCTGCAGAAGAAACAAAAAACCCAGAAATCATTAGGGATGTCCGATATTAATTTAATCAAAAATAACTTAATCTACTGTTAACACCCAGAAGCTGCCATTTTCCCTGTGGATTTTTACCTGGTTGAAAAGTCCTTGAAGTCACCCAGGAGGTCACATACACGCAACCCGGTGCGAGAAGCTTTGCTGGAATACGCAGGTCCAATGCCCTTCTTGGTTGTTCCAATACTGGCAAAGAAAAAAAAAACAGGGAATTAGAGCGGTTTGACGAAACCTCTACTGTGCTTTTTAATATGAATAAAACTAGGGGGCGCGGACACATTCGCGGCTCCACCATGTTCCTTTCCAGGTTTCCTTACTTCTTTCCTTCTTGTGCCTGTCTTTCAGATTCCTGTAAACCATCGACAACCTGGTGGAAGTCAAAGACTGTAGGAGGAAAAGGGAAGTCAGAAAACCCAACGTTTACACATTCATAGATGATTTATACATTTTAAGATGGATCCTTTTACGACATAGTTACCGAGGTGAGCTCTGTCCGAGACGATCAGTCTCTTCTCCCAGCCTTTCAGACCTGCTCAGAGGGCAGCGGCGAATTCATTGTGAGAACACACTCATCTGAACGTACATCGTACACCATTAGGTTCTATTGACAGTTTAACGTACCTTTCTTATCATTTTTGTCGCCTTCCTCAAAAAGCCCAGGTAGATGTATGACTACTCCGTTACCTACAGGGGCCGCAGGAGATTTGACAGTTGTAAATATCACTGCTCTTTACGAGGTTCTGTCTAAAGGTTAAAGATCGAAGAGCGTACCAATGAGCGATATGCTTTTGGGATTGATGATCCCACTTGGGAGAAGGTGGAAGTCGTACTCCTTGCCGTCCACAACCACCGTGTGTCCCGCATTGTTTCCACCCTACAAGTGACAAGCAGGAGCAGAACAATGTCTTGTGACCACGGGGATTGTTCCGCTGTATGTCAATCATTACAGTCATGTTCAGCATGAAGCAGCCCATTAGGAGGATGTTCCAGCCCAGTGCACATGTCCTGTCTAATTTTCAGGAGACGGTGATAAGCCGACCTTTTCCCACCACCGTGAGCTTTCCCAGGACCTATTTTAACAAACTTGGCCGGTGCTGGTGGGTCCTCCGCTCTGTTCCCTTGGGCTAAGACCTGGCCTTCTCACATAACAAGCCACCCTGAGATGAGAATGTGACCTCGCACCAGCCCGATGGGTGGGGCTCTCAAGCCTTCAGAACACAGACTGCTGCTGCTGTCAGTGCAGTTAGTACAACACAGCAACAGTTGGCAGGACTCACTGAGAGACTGGAGCTGGAGTGAGCACAGGGTTGTGTTTCTCAAGAAAGTAGACAGAACATAAATTGTCTGCTTGTTGTTGTTGTTTGTTCCTAAACTTAACACTAACTCAGTCTTCACACACGACCAGACGGTGCTCGTTGTCAGGAGTTGGGATAAAGTTGCTTTAAGCTCAGATTTGTTCAGACCAATAAAGTAACTTTATCCACCAAGATCATTATAAAGGGCTAACTGTAGCTAGCTGTAGCTAACTATAGCCTTGTTATGCTTAAACACACCCACCGGGATTTACTGCCACTGTCTGTAACTGAGAATATACACAGATTTGCCTCCAGAGTTCAAATGTTCACTTGTTTCCACCTGTTGCTCTAACGGACCTTTGGTTCGACTCAGTGAAAACGAATTAAAATATCAACAACACACAGACGAGACTTCTTTTGTTTTGTTTTTGTTTTTTACCTGGCACCTGCAGACGACGTCCGCTTCGGTCGCCAACAAATCAACGACCTTGCCTTTGCCCTCGTCTCCCCACTGCGCGCCGAGCACCACCGTCACCTTGTTCCCGGTGTCGTTGCGTGGTCTCTTCTGCCCCACGGCTCCCGGCTGACTCGTGTTTTTCTGGTCTTTTGCCGACCAGGTGTGCGACATGACGGCGGTGGAGGATCTAGTCCGTCGGTCCCAAGAAGACGACTAACCCGTCTGGAGTGGTGGCATTGCCATATGTGTAACCTCATAACCGATGATGTCAGAGCCAGACGCGCAGCACGCTGGGATCAAGGGTCTGGACTGGAGCTGCAGCTCTGACCCGTCTACATGTTCACAACACGCTGTGGTGTGAACGGCACCGGGATTAGAACAACGATTTATGACGTAAACGTTAATCCGTCTCAGACTTTTCCATTTACAAACATCAAATTCCACACAATATGAATACAATATACAACATGTTCAGTCAAACTCAGCCACATTGGACAATATTTAGCACAGACAGAGGTTTGGACCTGTTATATACAAACATAAACACTAAAGTAACTTTTTATAGTATTTTATATATGTATATATATGTATATTTTTTTTTACAAAATTACAAAAGCAGCGTTTCATAAATAAAAACAGTTCTTCTTTAGGTTTTGTGGCCCCCTATCGACCATTAATATGGTCATTGCCAAGAGCCGACTCTGCCTAGAGGGCATTATGTAGCAATATTAATCATCAAACCAGTTTAGATTGGATAAAGAGCAAAAGATTTAAAAAGTAAAACGGAATTGCCAACTTTCCAACCAGCATGTCCCTGCAGATCCCACCTGTAGCCGCAGACAGAACAATTGCTGCTTTAGAAGATTTATTTCTTTTTTACTTTTAAGTATCCAGCAAAGATCCAGTCACGGAAAAATGTTCTCATATTCGTATTTCTTCATACTGACCTCTAGGGGGTGCTGTGTACTCCTGTCGACTTTCTTTTGAGCTTTGGTTTCGTCTCATTGAAAACAATAATATAATTATGTTTGGTATTTGCCTTTGGTGCTGTGTGTTTGGACTTAGAGTTTCCCATGACGTTAATCGTTTTAATCATTCATTAATACCAGTCAGGACAAAGACTCGGACTCGAGTGTGAATAGTTTTCCTGAAATATACTGTATGTCGTAGTTTCTCTGGACGGTTCTGTCCCTGGCAGCCATCTTTGGACATCTTCATCCTATATATATGGTATCGAATTGTATTTTATACACGACTAGGGCCCAGGACCGGACTGTCGGTCATATGGGTGCGCCCTCCACAGAAAGAATAAAAAGTTTCATTTTTAGTTATATATAAATTTACGTATTATTTACGTGAGTTTGCGTGATAAAGGCACAAAGCATATCTTTGTTAGCGCTTAGCTAATTAGCTCATGCTAAAGCTAAATCACTTAAGAGCCTGTTTTCCTTATGGCATAGATTGTATGTGAACACTTACTAGGTTTTTTTCTTAAAAAGACCGTAAAAGATTTGAATCAACATAATGCAACAGACACGTGTATTTTTTAAAATCTGTATTTATTATTATTTGATCGTCAAACTCTTAAAAATACATTGGTTGAGTATGATGATGTATGGAGAGAAATCTGAAATAAACACAATTTTTATTTTTTTTAATTGTTAGAAAAGTATATTTCCACTGAAATAATTTTATAAAAACAAAAGTTTTTCCAGGGTTAATCTTTGGGGGAATTGCCATTAAAAACATCTGAACATTAACACTGTTTATGAGTTTGAATGGATTAAAATGCCTCGCAAAATATAACAGTGATGGGAAAAATGTAGTCACAATAAAAACAAACCCATGAAGACTATTGGTGAGGGAAGTTCTACGTTGTTTATGACACAGCAATAAAACCTAAAAGTAGCATAAATCGGAGCTGACCATTCAGATGTATAGACTCTAACCTTACATTCATTGTGTGTATACTCTTCTGACGCCCCCTATGGCCATTAGAGTGAATAGACTTATATAAAAAAAATACAATTCAATAACATTTTATTAAAATATACTTCACATTAAAAGTTACATCTCTTATCTGCTGCTCATCATTTCTGTTAAAGATCATATGAATAATATACAAAAAAAAACATTTTTATGTCTTGGTCCTAAGTGTAAACTCAACTCATATTAAATTGACTTCAAACGCATGTAACAACTATACAAAACATACAAATAATATTCAGATTTTTTTTTTGTTTGAAATAAGTTTGGTTCAGAAACACAAATAAACACACAAAGGTTTCATCTTTATAAAGTGACACGTCTACTGACACCGGGGCACGGGTGCGTTCCCTAGTCTCAGTCTGTGCAAAAAAGAAGGTCCTGCATCCTCTGGAGCATGGTCAATATTCCCATAGGATTAAATAAGCTAAGGATGTTCCAGTTCACAACATTATTTTCTTTTGCCTCTTGCTCTCCTTTGTCTGGAGTCACCTGAGGAAAACAAAAGCTTACATTAATGTGATATTATAAAAAACACTTTAATTTGCCTTCTTATCATCTTATTAACAATGTAAAATGGTTTCATTTTATGGCATTCATAAGACGGTGGGTAGAAAAAGGTTGTGTGATTGCCATTAGTTTACTTTTTATTTCAGTTAATTTAATGTATTAGGCGCACAGACAGTAAAGGCATCGTTTCACAGATTAGCACACTTTACAGGAAGCACACAAGTGTTTTGTTAATACATAAAAAAACATTTTTTTTTTTTGGAGAAGATTTGGGAATGGACAAAGAAACATGGAAGGAGAAGACACCAAAGTGAAAGCTGTCATGGAACGACTGAAGTCCACGATGACTTCACGAGACGTCACAAACTGCACGGCTGCTTGAAACCAGAATGTTGTTGTTAGATCATGGGTTAAAGGAAATCTGAAGATTTTAGGAACCCCCCCTCCCCCCCCCATTGAACCCGCTAGGATTGGACATTAGAAGCACCATGGGAGATGTGCACGGTGTCAATTACTTATTTAAAAAAAAAAAAAAAAAAAAAAAAAAAAAAAAGAAGAAAAAAAGTGATCTAAGAGAGCGAGGGTTAAAAGCTGGACAACACAGACAAATGGAATCCAGATTCCAGTTAGATCCACAATGAGGCGTTATTCTGGACAAAGCGTTGACAGTGATTGACAGCTCGTCAGGACGAGGGTCCTGTGCACAGCGCGCCGTCTCGGGGGTTTTGACCTACCTCACTGCAACATGCAGCCTGTTTTATGTTTAGTGTGTCCTTTCCCACTGTTACCTTGTGTTTCAAAACGGAGAACAGAGTTCAAACAGACTGACCACAGACTTGGAATCATTGTTTTCAGCATTAAAAAAAACATCTGTAAATAAAGTGCTGCACACTGCATTCGCAGTCTTTAATAACATCTACATGTGGTCACACGCACATTTGCAATATTATGTAAACTGTAAAATGCATTAAAAACACACACGTTGATTTTCCTTTCACACATGCACTCCAAACAGGAAGTTTATTGAGGTTAATGCACAGATTACCTTTGTTCTTCTTTTTGCCTCGTTTAAAGAAGCCCTGCTGATTTTTTCCTGCTCCAGGCAGCGGGAGGTGATCTTCTGATTCCAGTCCATCAGGGACGTCACACACTCTGCTGCCAACGCTCAAATTGCTTTTAGGATCCGAGTGCTCGGGGCTGGCGGCCTCATCGCGGCTGCAGGTTGTGACGGTAATGGACTCCTGCTCTTCACCGCTGCTCTCTTTTACCGTCGTCAAATGGATTCGATCACTTGTTTTGCTTTCACTACTCTGAGTAATGTCTGTATGGGGCAAAGGACAATCCTGGGCAGTTACATCCGTCTGTTGCTCGGACGTCAGCTGCTCAGGTGTCAGGCTGGGGGCGCTGTCTAACGCAGCCTCAATCAGGTCAGAGTCAGAGAGGGAGAACGGGCTGAGGACGCTGGTCTCGTTTGAATCTGATGAAATGCCACTTGAGGAGGGACAGGGCTGATGATCGACTTCAGCCTCAGGCAGAGGGGGTGAGGCGGTGGTATGAAGCGGCAGCACTGGCTCCTCTGGGCGGGGGCTCCCCTGTAAAGACACCGGTCTTTCCGGGGGTGCCTGCGCTGCTGCGGCTGGCTCTGCGGGGAGTGTTTTGGGAGGTGCAGCTGGCTCGTCTGCTGTGACACTCGGCCGAGCTGGTGGAGCATTGTCTGGCGGGCTGATGATGTCGTTCCCCCCTCCTGCGCTGACTGGGTGAGCCTCTGTCTGAGACTTTGGTGTGAAACTGGTGGCTGATTCTGCGGCTTCTTCTTCTACAGGCTTGACATTTGACCCTGTGTGGGAGGAGGAAAGAGACAGAACTGATGTGATAGGCAAATGTTAAAAACAGCTTTTTTTTTTTCTTTCAAAATGGGTTGTTATTAGGGATGTCTGATAATATTGGCTGACCAACGTTATCGGCCGGATATTAGCATAATTATGTAATATCTGAATCAATGAAAAACCCAATAATGCAATGCCTGGGTTTTGCCAAATGATGTGTGCCCTAAAAATAGTTTTGGGGAAAAACGACTGTACATGAAAGTGAATGTCACTAGATGGCAGCATTGCAGCTCATTTTATTAATTTTATTAATTAATAATCAAAATACCACTCTGCATGGTAATCATAATAATCATGCAGAATATTATTATTACCATGAACTCAATAGTATTTCAATTCAACTTAACATCTTAACCACCAGGCAATCACTGCCCCTCTATCAGTATCAGCTGATATCGGAATCGGAAATTAATTGTTGGGACAATGTCGGCGTATCGGATACTGGCAAAATGTTCATATCAGACATCACTGTTATTGTCAGTGTGGGCAGGAATGAATGACATGAATGACAAAAATTGGCAAAGCATTGAAGCAGAGGCTAATGCGGCTCAAAGCAGCAGAGAGATGGAGGAAGCTTAGCGCGACCTGAGTGGCTTTGACATGCAAATAAAAGAGCCTCGACAAAAGCAGCAAGGCTGAGCTCCAGCCCGTGGTTAAATGTCTCAGGGGCGGAGCTGACAACTGCAGGTGGTGGCCACGGTCTCTCGTCCTTACCAGGTGGGTGGGTATCCCTACGCATTTCACTAGAAGGGAGGCTTTCCGAATCGCACCTGGGCCTGGTCTTTCTTAGGCTGAAGCCTTTCCTGATATCTGCCAGCAGAAGGTCGACGATGCAGCCGTCGTCCTGTGGCACGATGCCTCTCTTGACTGGAGGGACAAGGACAAAGGAGAATTGTAACACCTGCCAATCAAATTCCATCTCGGTGTGAAATCTCTGGTGCAGTGACAGAAACAAACAAAGGCTGTTCAACAACTTACTTATTTTCCCGTTCTCTCCCTTCTGTCTCTTGGCCTCTTCCTCTGCCAGCTGCTTCTTTCTCTTCTCAGCCTTGGCTGCTTGTTCCTTCATGGATTTGTTTTCCTGTTATCATGAGAGAGGGTGATGTCACTCACTCACGCCAAGAACAAACTGTACTCAACACTCTTACTTCAATTGGACAGTAAAAAAAAAAAAAAGAAGAAAAAAAAGATTACAGCTTGATCGCACCAAGTTAAAAACAGCGACATCGCTGCGTCTGACCTTCAGTGCTTTAATGAACAGTCCTCGGAAGGTCTTCATGGTACTGAAGAGTTCCTCCAGCGACAGGTTGTTGGCGTCCTCACATAGGTAGACGGCCAGCTCGCTCCTCAGACTGTCGATCTCTGCGAACTTTTTACTTATAGTGCGAAATGCCTCCACACTTCCCTGGAGCAGATCAATTTAGGGTCATTTAAAACTGACTCGGTTCACGACGCTGTAAATGTACATTTTGGCTCAACTTTTTAAGGGATGTCAGATATTATCGGCCGATACTAGATTAATGATGTAATATCGGTAAGAATCGTTATCGGTTTTTCCTCCGATAATGAAGACCTGCGAACGCAATGCTTGGTTTCGCCCAGATGATGTAACCTAAAAATAGTTTTGAAGTGAAACTATTACTAGTACTGTCATTGTGAACCAGCACACCACTGCACACAATGAAATGTGTCCTTTTAGGTACACTGCACACAATGAAATGTGTCCTCTGCGGTACTATTGGTATCGGAAATTAAGTGTTTGGACGATATCGGCAAAAAGGTAATATCGGACATCCCTAAACTTCGTGCATCTTACTTCCAGTACTCCTGCATACTGCTCCTTCACCTCCTCCACCGAGTTGGAGACCCTTTTGGTGGTCTCGTTCAGCCGTTTCAGTAAGGCACTGGTTTCACCCTGAAGAGACTCCAGGTTAACTCTGAGGACAGAGCGTGAACACGCGTCATGTTCTGTATCTTACACCAAAAAAGGAGAATATAAACAGGACGAGGATGTGAAAGGGTTTTTTTTTTTTATTTTTACCCTGCAGCTTTTTCACAGATTGCCAAATCGTCTTGCAGAGCCAGCAGCTCTGGATGATTTGCCTCCGCTTCCTTTGAAGAACGAGCCACATATTGGGGTAACTAACAGACTTAGGAATAAATGCATGACAAAAATGGGAAAAAAAAAATTACCGTGTACCTCTAGGATGTGATGCAGCAGCGTTATGCGGCTCTTGTTGGCCTTGGTCTCTGTCAGCTTGAGCAGAGAACTGATCTTAAAGCCTACGGCATTTCCTGTGTGACTTCCCTGGAAAAGAAGAAATTAAATAAATTAAAGAACTTCCATATCGCGTTTAGTAGAAAACAAGAGACAGCGCAGCTCACGTAGTTCAGAAAATTTCCAACGTCCAGGATGAGTCTGCAGAAACTGGGTATGAGCGTGCTCTCCCTCAGAGCTGTGGAAAAAAAAAAAAAAAAAAAAGCACCATGGGTTAATTTCATTATAAATAAGATAATGAATCCAACTCCAGCGAGACGTGCTGTACTCACACTGACACGCCTCCTCCACCAGCGCCACCTTAGGTTTGAGCATGTCCAGTACCGACAAAGTTTCCTCGCACAACAGCATACACTCTATCCTCAGCTGATAACTGCAGAGTCGAACACAGAGGCTGAGTTTACTCGGGCCAAGAGAGTTGGCAGACGTAGCACCGAGTGGAAAAAAACTAAACGTTGAACAAACAAACATGAGTCAGTGATGAAAGTTACCATGGCACCGTGAGGAGGGTGGCGTAGAAACGGTCGACGTTCCCCAGCTTCTCTTTTTCTCCTTGGAAGGACTTCAAGTTTTCAATCTGAGGTAAAAATACGGCATAAGAACGGCTTCATGGACAACGTCATTTCCCAGTGGACGTCAAGGTTTGAACCAGCGGTAGCGGGCCCAGGAAGGGCGCCCTCCCCCGAGAATTCTGACATTTATAACTTTTTTTTTTTTTTTTTAAACCAACAATAATCACTAGCTATCGGCTCATCTCGCTCCTAACTTCGTCGGAGCTCAGGGAAGCTAGAAACAGCGCAACAGCAGAAATTTCAGAACAATCAGAGTTGTCTAATCTGCTAGCTTAAGGGCAATTAATTTGTTGCCCCAAGTCGAGTCTCTCCATGAGGGAGGGGATATCTGAACCGTTTCACATGCTCATTTTTGCACCTCCACCACAAGGGGTCACTGTAACATACAACAGCCTTGGGTGTAAAAATGTATAAATATTAGGGATGTTCGATATGACCTTTTTGCTAATCTCCGATATGCCGATATCGGCCAAACACTTAATTTCCGATTCCGATATCAACTGATACCGATATATGCGGCTGTTTTCCCCCAAAACTGTGGTAAACGTCTCAGTACCCTACAGAGATTCTAGTATATTTGGCGAAACCCAGACATAGCATTATTGGGTTTCATTATCGGAGGTAAAACCGATAATAAGCCTTACAGATATTACATAATTATGCTAATATCGGGCCGATAATATCGGTCAATTTTAGTCAGACATCGCTAGTAAATATGATTAAGTCATTTGTTTACACATCCAGTTTCAAATGGAAAACTTGTAAAACTTGGCTTATAATGACAGCGCCCCCTAGAATATTTTTGAATGCAGACTCACCTCATGTTTCTCTGGCAGAAGCTTCAGGAGTTGTTTCAAAACTTCCACATCAAACCTACTTCGATCCCCGTTCTGAATCATGGACACAAACTCCTAATATCTGCTGAGTAGGAAAAAAAAAAAGAAGAAGAAGAAAAAAAAGGATTTTACAAAATATCCCACAAGAGATTAAAAAAAAAACCTTGTAAAAATCACAGACTTACCATTTGAACTGCTTTAGGAAAATGTTCAAATTCAGGCTTTTCTTTGGATCAATAAACGTGATCTGTTGAAGAGAAGGCAGCAGGTAGACACAGTGAGGAGACTGTCTTTTTTTTGATAATCAGGTGTTTTTTTTGCCCCGAGGAGCCGTGCTAAGTGTTGACCAAGCGCACCTCTTTAGGCTCCTTCTTGACAGGAGCAGCTGCCCCCTTGTCTTTGTGCTCGGTGACGGGGAGACAGAACAGCTGCTCGATACTGCTGTAGTCCGGCTCCCGAGGAGGAGGCTCTTTCTGAACCGAGGCCCACATGGAGGGACCATCTGTGTGTATGTGGACAACGACAGGAAGCTGTCATCAGCCAATGGGAACTAGGCTTTTTAATAATAATAATACATTTTAAAGTAATGAATTAAAGAACCAAATATAATAAATAATAATCTCCCTACATTTTTCAGAGTCACATGATGCTGTGATCTTCAGCAGGGACTCTGTCCTCTGTGCATTTGTTTTACCTTCCAGTAGGCGGCAGTAATAATGACATTAATGGTAAAGAGTTGGAGTTAAGTCCCAAATGAATTCAAAGTCAAAAGGCCTGGACAGTAGGACTAGCTTTAGCTTAGCCTTGGAGAGCATGACTGTTATTATCAGAGACTTTATTGAAACAGGGCTTTTCAAATTGTAAAAAAAAAACCAAAAAAAAAAACAAGAGACTGTCTTTCTTCAATTCCTGTCGTGTTCAGCTAAACAGGCCCAGGTTTCAGTAAGTATTACTATATCTCAATACATTTTGACATTTGACATTTTTTAAAGGTTGTCGACCGCCGGACATTTTTCCAATGTAAAGCATGTGCCGTGGTTCAAGAAAAGCTCGGTCTCGTTCACAGACAGAAAACCAAAGATCTGTTTGATTAGTCTCGGCAGAATACCAGAACGTTCTATAAAACAATACAATCATCTCACCAGTAACAGAACGTAGTTTCTGCCAGTTGAGTTTCTTCATTCTCAAGGTTGGACATCGGTACACTTTTGCTGGGGGACCGCAGCCCAGGAACTGGCTGCTCTGCGCCACGATCATGCCTGGTGGGGGCGGTGGTGCCATGCCGGGGAAAGGAGGAGGAGGTGGTGGTGGTGGTGGTGCCATGCCAGGTAAGGGGGGAGGCGGTGGTGGCCCAATGCCCATTCCTGGTAGAGCTGGAGGAGGAGGAGGGGGAGGAGGAGGAGGAACACCTGGACCATTAAGCAACGGCATGCCAGGTAAAGGAGGAGGAGGAGGTGGCGCAGGTGCAAACCCCCCAGGTAGAGGTGGCGGCGGTGGCGGAGGAGGTGGCGGGGGCGGTGGGCCAGAAGAAGGAGGAAGAGGAGGAGGGGGTGAGGCACACAGTGGTTTCTGATTGGTCGTCATGACGACATCTGAACTCTCGCTGTCCGGCTCGGTCTGCACGGCCTTGTCCACACGGGGCAGCAGACCGTCCAGTTCGTGACGGTCCCGGCAGCTGTCGCCTTTGTGGAACAACAGTCGCTGCACGATCTTCTCACAGGATTCCATCTGAGCTGGAGCACAAACCCAAACACACAAACGCCAGTGGATTTCTCCGTCACTAATCTCACATTATATTATTATTATATGCCGCTATAATCCCGGGACAACAGTTTCCTCATAGTATTCCCTCAGTTTAAAAAGAGGTCTAATAACCGAGGAGGAAATCAGCCCCCTCCCATTTTATATGGATCTACAGGGGAGTCCAGAGCCACAGAGCTCCAGTGCTGACTCACAGTCCTGGGCCAAGAGGACGGCTCGGTTCGTAATGGCCTCCAGAGCCAGCCGGATGTCGGAGCGGCTCGGTCCCAGCACCAGCAGTGTCTGCAGGATGGACAGGAGCTGCAGAGAGGCTGGAGAGCTGCTCACCTACACACAGGAGAACACACACACACACACATACAGACAAAAAACAAGTGTCAGTGTTATCTGTGTCAGTCATGTCCTTTTTTTTGCCTGAACTTTATTATTAAAAGTAAAATAGATTTAAAAAAAAAAAAAAAAATCTAGACCAGGGTCTGAAGAATTATTTTTGGATATTAATGGTACAGCCATGATAAAAAAAAAAAAAAAAGATTTGTTTTCAGAAATAATTACAAAATTACTCGTTTTTTAGTTTACTCTGGTCAGTCTGCAATATTTGCCCTGAAGTTCTTTTTAAAAACTACCATTAGGGGTCAGTCTTGGATCCTTGTATTTCACATGTAGGCCACAGTAGGACAAACATACATACAGGATATTTTCCAAATGTGCTATACTCAGTCTTCGTTTAATGTCGATTAATTTCTGTCATGCCCCCCCCACGCCCCTTGGGGACAGAAATATTTTCACACCCACCACCTCCCCCCCGACTCACACCCCCACAAATAAAAATACTATTGAAAACCTGATAACATGTATATATTTATCTGTACAAACCACTGTATGAGTTGCTGCCACCTAGTGACTGGAGGCTGGTTATCATTCAAGCATTACAGCAGTGGTCCTCACAGCTCCCCCCCCCGCCCAACATTTCAGCAGTACTGGCCTAATGGAAGGTGCTTTCAGGGCCTCCCACCTTGTTGAACAGCGTAGTGTAGACCTCCAGGTGACTGCTCATGTCGATGCCTCCATACAGCCGCAGCAGCTCCTCCTCGTCTTCAGCCATGGCCTCTTCAAACGCTTCGCACTGAATGATCAAGTCCACATCCTCCTGCTCCCTGTGCAACGCAAACGTTCCACCAATGAGACGAGCGCCGGTCATTTAAAACACACAACATTTCTCAGCTTTTGGGACTAGACACGCTCTGACACTGACGTTTAATAAACTGTGCTTTTAAATTCAAAGGAGACAGAAGAGCTCACCTCAACTTAGGGAGAAGGTCAAGCAGCTGAAGTCCTGCAACGACACAAGCACAGAACAGCGCTCTGAGTGGAATCCCTCATGAATTATTTCTAAAGAAAATTATCTTAAAAGGGCACCACAAACTTCTCCCATGGTTCAAATGTTACTCTTTCACAGGTGAGCAATCACTCGGGAGGCGTGGCCAATCACATGTCTGATTGGCCCAAGGTGGTGGATGACACTTTAGAGCCTGAGGGAGGGTCAAACTTCATTCACCACATTCAGATCCACTGTTTAACAGCAACGTATGGGTTTAACTGAAACCCCAGCAGGTTTTCGTGACCGTTTATCCAAAAGTTAAAGGAAAAAATTTGCACAGAATTTAAATAATAATAATAACATTTTTTATACATATATTAAACATATAAGTAGATAATAATTCATTATATTTTATCATATTATATATATTTATTTTATTATATTATATCTTTTTTAAAAGAATGATAACATGTCTTTTCAAATGACCAGGCGTATGTGATTGACCTACATTGAAAACACAAAAATATAGTTCTTAATATAAACCCAACATAATTTATATCAAGGGTGTCAAACATACGGCCCGCTGGCCAAAAACCGGTCCATTAGGGGGTCCAATCCGGCCCACTGAATGAATTTTAAAATTGAAAAAAAGAATTCACAAACGCTTCATGTTCGTGATGTTTTGTCATATTATATTTCATTAAATATATTTTTTTTGTAATATACTTGTACTTATTTGCAGGGAAACAAGGTGGGAAAAACATGGACCTGTTGTTATTTTCAGGTAATTATGTGATGATTGTACTGGTTCTTGTACAATATGATTCAATACATGAGTCAATATATGAGTCGATTCTTACAGTACATGGTCACTACTAAACACATTAAACTAGAATTATATATATATATATGTATATATATATATATATATATATATATATTTGTCTTTAATTGCTGGTGATCTACCAGAACTCCCTTTGTGATCTACTGGTAGATCTCAGTCCACTGATAGGGCACCACTGGTTT